GTAGCGGTAGCGGTAGCGGTAGCAATAGCAGCAGTAGCGGTAGGAGTGGCAGCAGCAGCAGTAGCAGTAGGAGTAGCAGCAGCAGTAGTCGTCGTAGTAGTAGTAGTAGTAGTAGTAGCAGCAGCAGCAGCAGCAGCAGCGCTAGTAGTAGAAATTAGGAGGAGGAGGAGTAGTAGCACTGTTCTGACCATGATGGTTATTCTGGTCTGTAGCTAGCATTCATTCGCTAAGATCATTGACAGTGTTGCTAAGTTGACCGTTGTTGACTGTTGCTGCTTGACTCCTCTTTCGAGCCACGTACCAGTATCAGACTGTGTACAGTAAGCATGATGACCTGGCGTGATTGTCCCTGTCAGTCACTCTTCACATCTGTCGGTATTGTGGGAAAGTGTACCAATGGCCGAGCTCATTGTTGCTATCAATAGTAGTAGCCAGTGGCAATAATGACAATACATACTGTCAAAATAACATACCAGACATGAGCATAGTATGTATGAGAGGCCGAACCACAATCATCGAAACCCTCAATGGTAACCTCACCCCAATGGGAGCGCGGACGTCCAGCAGTCTCATGCCAATGTGCCGCGGAGGCATCACAGCCGCTCTCTTGCACCACCCGCACCTGATCACGGAGCTGAAGGCAACATCTAAGTACACCTTGGACAAAAATGTTTAGATAACGTTTTCGTTAAATCAGAGAGACGTCTCTCACGAGAGAACGGATTCGACAGAAACGAATATGGAAAACAGCGCAGCAACAGCCGTGTTGATATGGTGGATGCGCTGACGTTTTAGAACGAGAATACTTTTTCGGAGCCCATCCCCGGCTTGCAGATGCAAGCAAGACTTCAAGGAAGGTAGGGCGGAAAAAAACTTGAGGGCTCATGGAAAGACCTACAGAACACAAGCCGCAATACTGCGCTTCTACTTTGACGTTGTCAGAGCAATAGCTCCATGCAGCGGCATGGGAACAAAAACTCTTCAACACCCTTTACTCAGAAGCTTCCCAAGGCAGCCTCCAAGGGCACGGGCGTTGAGGCCGGAGGGCAAGGAGATTGCTTGAGGCTCGGGGCTGCTGCCATGCCATCTCAGGGCACCTCGGATTGGAACTTCCGAGTTCGCTAGCGTAGGGCGCAAAGACCTTACGAAGCTCCACAGCGCTTCTCACCAAGCTGCGTCGCAGCTCAGCATTGGTTTGCAGCCATGGCAAACTTGGGCTGCGTCTCAGCTCAGAACCGGGGACGGGCAAAGAGGAGCGGGGATAGCTTAAGCTGCGGAAAAGGTCAGCAAAGGCCCGGTAGCTTATGCGGCCTCTCTACGAGTCCGCACGCGAGGCGACATCTTCTCTTCATGGGGCTCTGGATTTAAAGCCCTTGATCTGAGCGGCCGCGTAGAGAAGGACTTCGAACAGAAGCACAGAGCACTCGCAGAATACACCGATCGGCCACATCGCAACAGTAAAGGAAGGCTTTTGATCTGCATGTGCTGCGCTCCCCCGCGTCGAACATGCATCCCAATGCCAGCAAGGATTGGGTCAGAGAGCCCGGTGCCGATCTATGGACACTGCGAGGGTTTATGACGCTGCCTGAAGAGCTCCTGCACATGTAGATGAATCCAAACTGAGCGAACTCAGCATGCACATGAATGGGTCCTTCAGCGCAGACACATCTCCCTGAGCAGCTAGTTGCACTAGCCGCTCAACCTGCGTGCGGATTTGCAATTGAACAGCCTTGGACTCATTCTCTGCGCACTGCAACCACACTAAAAGTCTGCTTGCACCTCCTCGCTGGACACTTCCGCGCCATCGAACTCGGCAGAGCGAGCCCGAGCCTCCATCAAGACCTTTGCGCTGCACAGGGAGGTCCTCTCAGCTGCCCCCCATGAAACTGGAAGCCTTCCCGCCTTGTCGGGAAGCCCAGCGATCTTGGCGACATTGTGTCCATGAGAGGATGGGCACAGGCCAGGCAAGAACTTGTAAAGGAATGTCATCTCATGGGTTCCCTGGTTAACAGCTGCAGCCATGTGAAACGGCGCCACGTTGGCGGTATCTTCAGCTGCCTTCTTCGAAACTGGGTGGTAGTGAGTGGCGAAGAGCACCTCAGCCGAGAAGATTTTCACTCAAGCATATCTTGCATGCACCCACATCGAGATATCCCACACTTCGACTCCGAAACCTTTTTTTCTGCTGTGTGCCGGAGAGCTACAGCGACATACAGCAAGCGTGGACGTCGATTTCGGCCACGCTATGGCACAACAAAGGAACATAAGCCGACAAATCCAAAACCCAAGACAAGCAGCTGTCAGGACGGTCGAACCCCGCACTGTAAACCCGAAACGAAACCCAAATCCCATTGGGATTCGTGATTAGAGACCCCTGTACCCGCCACGCTAAACTTCTAAACATGCACATGAAGCGCAATCCTGCATAGCAGTGGTCAACTACAGAACAGGGCAATGGTGGACTGTGGTGGGCATTTGCGGGCAGATCCCAAGAAGGAGTGACAGCCACCGGATGACCCAGCAAGCTTCAGCAGGCCCCAGCAAAGGTGTGAAAGGGAAAATTTCGCCCAAAGCAGAAAAGGCCCTCCTGCACTCTTCTGCTCCCTGCATGTCATTGTCCGAAACTTGCTCTTGGAATTCCCCCGCCGGGTCTGAATTAGACCTTGCTTCGATCCGCGGCACGGGACATCGCACGTGGCACTTCAGCTCTTCCAGCACGGCCGACGCTATGGCAGCCCCATCAAACGTAGAAGTTCCGCGGCCCAGTTCGTCCTGCACATGCCGAGGCATCCATGCCTGTACTCAGACTCCATGCAAGTCAAGGTCCAGAACAGCCAGTGATCGAGGCGTCCCGTGTGCCAGGAGGGCAGCCGTCTCCTGAGCAGATCAAGGTGGACACACGCACACTCACACGACCGCACGCGCAAACACAGAGAGGGTACTTGCATGCTTGGGTCCACTCAATGCACCACGAGTTGCACAGCTCCAAGTTGTGACAAGATATGACAAGCACATGTCGGTCCTCCAACTCAGTCAGCAGCCTCAGAACCAGAAACTATCTCAACTACGAGTGCAAAATAGTGCAAATATGTTCAGTGCCCGCGTTGGCATAGCACCCAAAGTGCAGGCAAGAAGCGTGCTCTTGCCCTCAAGTACTGCATCATAGGCACCGATACGAGTGAAGATCCGGTCCACGGGAGTGAGCCTGCACTTCTGTGCATTTACTCGGCAGCCCACCTGCGCCATCAAAACGGCAATGCAGGTCTGGCGCAGGACGGTGGACTTGCCGCCCATATTCGGGCCCGTCACGATCAATAGCCCCGGTACCCCGCACGCGTTCAGGGCCGTATCGTTGGGAACAAAAGCACTGCCCATCCTCGCAGCCACCACCGGGTGTCTGCAGGTCCGTAGTTCGATGCTGGCAGCCGACCGGGCATCCGAAGCCAGGAACTCGGGTCTGCATGCGGCACCCGGCAAACCTTTGGATGCTGCTGCTAGGGACAGCAATGCATCTACCTCCGAAACGCACCGCACTAGTGCGCGGAAGGGTGCTTGATGAAGATGGAACTCACGGAAGAGCTTGGACAGAAAGGGAAAGATGCAGTCTTCCTGTTCGTCCTCCAGCTGATCGAGCTGCACAAGGAGCTCCTTGATCTGGGGAGTGTGGAAGCGAACCTTTCCCTTGACTCGTCCAGTAATGTCAAGGCTACGCTGTGCAGCCGCCGACATGGAATGTTCATCGCACTCCACCTCGTAGCGATAACCCGGTAGCCGGTGAACAAAGCAGAACTGCACCTTCGGATAGGTTGCCTTGACTCTCTGCAGCTCCTTATCCAACTGAGACTTCACCATGTGAATCTCACGACTCTTCTGATCGTAAACAGGGTCCGCTCCATCCTGCGGCCGGAACTTCAGGGCTCCGTTCTTGCCGGTGGCTTCGACAACACTCCCGCGCAGCTTTGAGATGATGGGCATGAGCTCCGGCAGAATCCCGCCGGCCTTCTGAGGCTTTGCAACCATGGCAAGGCGACCCGGCAGAGACCCCTGCGCGGGGAAGGCTGTACTCAGCAACTGGTAGCATTGCTCGTATGCTTCCATGAGCTCCACGAAGTGTCCCAGGCGCCGGGCTGTGATGTCATCGTACATGACCGCCTTGCGTTCTGCCTGCAGGGCGTAGCTCCAAATCCTGGAGGTCGCACGCTCCAGATCCACTGGGAGCTTCGAGATCTTCCCGCCCGCGATGCACTTCTTCAAGGATGCTCTCAGCTGCTTGGAAAGCTCGTCATTCTGCAGGAAGTACTCCACAGCCTCCTGGCGGGACTGAATATCCTCCAGATCGAGAAGCGGAGCACAAACCCATTGCTTCAGCAATCGAAAACCGAAGGGTGTGCTTGTGTGATCCAGGAACGCCAACAGAGAGCCTTCATAGCCACCTTCCAAAGTCTCAACCACTTCGAGAGCAGACAAAGCCGTAGCGTCCAGAATCATGCGCTGGGAGTTCGTGCGAGTCTTGGCAGCTGTTGCAAGGACATCCCAAGTTGCAAACGGGAGCAGCCTCTCTGCCAGTAGTGCCGCTTCCAGGTAGTCCATGATTCCAGCAGCTGCGATGACTGCACTGTCCTGACAAAAAGCCAACAACTTGCACAAGGCTACTTGCGAACATGACAGCCCAGATGCGGCACTCCTACAAACGGGAGTGCCTGTCCTGCGTCAGCACCTCCTGAACTGCTGGGTTGAAGGCCTTCGGATGCGCTGCCCGGTACTTGTTCATCATCTCTCGGGCCTTTAGGAGTCCACAGTCTCCGGCAGATCGGGAAGACAACTGTGGCCTGCATGGCAGCCGCTTCAAGAGCTGCATAACTTCGATGGGGAGATTCGCAGTGTCATAGACGATTTCACTGGGCTGCAGCTGTGCCAGCATCGTCCGCAGGCGGTTGCGGTCCGGAGCATCGTTGAAGTGTCCCAGCTGAATCTGCGAAGTTGCACAATCTACCAAGCAAGCTGCAAAGTCAAGACCTCTCTGGCCCTCGAAGAAGAGGTACGCAAGGAATCGAGAGCCGGGACCTGCCAACAACTCGGGATCTACCAAGGTGCCGTTCGTGTACACCTCACATACATCCCTCTCCACGCAGGTGGGGCCCGTAGTTTGGCCCTCTGTCTTGCGCTGGTTCGTCTCCACCACACGCTCAACCTGCTCTACCACCACCACCTTGAAACCAGCTTCGACGACGCGCCTGGCATACTCATGCTTGGCCATCTCTGGGAAGCCGACATGCGGCTTCTTCTCTTGACCCATCCATTTCAGATTGCAGATGCGCTGAGCGATGAAGGCATCATAGTAGAATATCTCATAGAACTTCCCAACCTTGAAGAAAGCCACTTTGTCAAAATGCTTTGATTTGAGCTTCCAGTATTGCATCAACATCGGGGTATTGTGTCCTTGCGCCTTCTGGTACTCAGCTTTTTCCCGCACAGGATCGGGCACCCAAAGCGTGCCCTGGTTGTAGCCAGGCTCCGTCGGGCGAAGGCCTTGCGCATCCCTGAGGTTCTCCGGCCTCAGCCATGCCGGCCAGGAGTACTGCGAGCCTCCGTTCTCAAAGTGGTGAAAACACTCGGCCGTGAATGGAGGGATGGACCCGGGCGCGGACCTTTCTGCGAGCTGGAGGGTAGCACGCAGGTCCTTTGGACCCTCCTGCGCACGCTGTGGCGTGGCGAAACTCGGTGGCCCACCCTCCGTAATGTCCTCATCGCGGACAACGGCGTCCTTGTTGGGCGAGCCCGCCTTCATCTTCTTGGGCTCAGACCCGCTGTCCTTCAAAGGTCGCTTTCGGGACTCGATCGAGGGCGGAGTGCTGAGCGCATCATCCTTCAAGCCTGAGACATATTTTCTGCGCGCTGCGGAAAAAGACCAAAAAAAGTGCCTGAAGCCGAAGCTACGAGTGCCTTCCAGACCAAGGCACTCGGAGCTCGGGGACCGGGTGTTTGAGGCGGGGAGTTTGCCAGCGACGATGCCAATGCTGCCGGCTCTGCTCGCTCTTTTCCGGCTTTCTGAGCTGGCACAAAGAATCGGGCAATCGGCGATTGCGCAGCCATGGGTGGGAAAAACCTAAAGGCCAAGCATGAAAAAATCGCACTTTCGAGCGTCACACCCTGGGTGCACGTGCCATTGAGATTGATGACCATAAAGAGCTACGGAAGCGCAATGGTGACACTCGCCTCCTTATTCCTATCTGAAGCCCTTGCTTCCACCGATAAACCCTGCTGCATCTAAAGCTTTACAATCCTGCATGGGAACATGGAGCTAAATGGCAAAGGACAAGCTGGCACCGAAATTCGTGGAAGCATATAGTCAACTCAGACTCGCTCTGATCTTCTTGCTTGGCTTCGGCTTGGCCTGAAATTGTCTGCACAACGTGTGGCGATGCTCATGACAAGCACTTCAGCTACTCCTCCCAATCTCATGCTCCTTCCCTTTCAAAAAATGCTTTGCAATGGCCATCCGGAGAAAAAAAAACACTTCCAACCCTGAAACCCAAGCAGGATCTCGGCACCCGTGATAGAGACGCATGGTATGGACAAAAACACGGTCTGTCGCTATTTTCGCGGAACCTGGCTGATGCTAGACGATGAACTCCCCCGAGACCGCCTCTCGCTCCACAGCCATCGTATGCGCCCCAGAAGGAACGGTGAAGCGCCGATACTTCCCAGATCCAGCAACGACCGAGTGCAACCCTTCGCCGAATGGCTGCCCATCAAAGGATCGCAGCCTCATTGTGCCGTCTGCTACGGGCACAAAGAGGTACGCCAAAATACCCACCGGCACTGTGACCTGTTGCGAGGCCACTTTGTCTCAAGTTGGGCAACAACCGCGAATCTTGAGTTGAAGCCTTGTCCTACAGCCCTCCGAGTTTGCCCGTCGAAACACTCTCACTACCCGAGTACGCTTGATGAGACAAAGAGGAACATTTCCTCGTTGGCCTCGACCGTCAGCGACGGCTGTCTTGACCAGCTGAACTGCACAGCACCAAAGTCTGTGGCGACTGAAGCATTCCTTAGTGTGGGCACAATGCGGCAGAGTTTGAGTGAAACAAATCTTTCAAAGGCTCCAATGTGTTTTTGCTCCTTGGCCGAATGTTCGAAAAGCAAATGCAGCTAAAGGGCACTTGGCTAAGCTGCCCAACCACCATCTCTACATGATGGCCACGGGACACCGAAATGCCTGCAATGGATGCGGCCGCTGCTCAGAAGAAAGCTCCACTGGAGAGGCCAAATCCACACACCAAAAGCTTGCACCTGCAGGTTGCAGTATCACAAAGCTTTGACCTCGCCTGCCACTCGGGCCGTCAAGTAGTGGCCGACGGACGAGTACATATGGTGCGCCCTGGAATTCATGCCTGGCCCCCGATTTGGGGCATCGGGGACCTCCCACATACCTGCCGCGAACAAGGCCATCGAAAACTGCAATTTAACATGTTCACTGTCGCAGCTGGAGTACTCTCATTCGCAGGTTCGTAGGCGTTGAAATACCTGATGCTGCTCCGCAGACGGCATCTTCAGCACATGATGTTCCCCATCGACTCTTGCGTATCACATGCAGCACTCATCACGGCTTGACACAATGGTTCAACCCCCCACAAGACGAACATGTCTCATCTGAGCGACATGTATCCATATGATGGGTAGTCCTGCAGCACCGCCGAAATTGCAGTGCAGGCAGTGCAGCTCTCCATGACGAGAACCTGCCTTTTTAGGACAAGTCTCCTTTTTCTGCAACATGGAGAGCGCCGTCGCTGCAGCCCCAACGTCATGCAACACGTCGAACAAGAAGCGAACGGTAATGATGCCTTGCCGCCATCACATTCTTCCAGTGCATGTCATCGTCAATACAGGCCCCTCGGCCCCTCGGCCACAAGCTGGGTGCCCAGCCGCCGGTCCAGGTGTTTCCATGGTCTGCTATATACCTCGAGCAGATTTCCCGTCGACTTGAACCCGAAGCAAACCAGACTCCTGGACTCTAGTGACGCTAGACTTCTCTCCCCACCAAGCTCTGCTCGAGTCAAGGCACTTCAAGAGCCCTTGCGAGACGGCTTGGAGTTCTGTGGCAGGAACAGCACCAATGGCCAAGGGCAGCACATAAGTGGCCATTACACCATTTGCGTAGGTCTTGTTCACAGGATTGTAGTAGCCTGCACATCACCCATTGGCAGAGCTTGTGAAATACGCTCACCCACTGACCCAAAGGCCTTCGTGAAAGGCACCCAGCATGTTCTTGTGCCAGGTGATCATCGATTCTACATCTTTTGCTGCTGCACCTCTGTGCAGAGTGGTTACGAAATTCCCGCGGCCTATGCCACAAGTCTCAAATGCAGGCACCTCCCAAGGCCGTGCCCAAATCGGCAGCTTGCTGCACACTCCGAAGCATGGACACAGCAGATGTGAAGCCAGCTGGAGGTGTTTCAGTAGCCTGGCCACCAGGGGTCCTGTTGGAGGCAGACACGCTTGTGCAGTGACCCCGCAAACAATGGCGCTTGTTTTTCCAGAGTCTCCTTGGGGGAGGGCACCAGTCGCCGTAGGACTGAGGCAGTTTTGTGACGTTCCTGCGAAGCGTAAAGTGAAAGGTCAAGAGCGCCGGTCGGCTCCACGAAACATGCAAGCTACGTGCATCAACGTCTAATAATCTGCAGGTGAGTCTCCCTGCGGCAGTGTACGTGGCGTTGAGGCTGCTGACGTGAGCCTTCACGCTGTCCCAATGCTTCTGCGCGGGTTTGAGGTCCCCATCCTCGAGTTCGTGTATTGAGCGCTAGCAACTAGCATATGAGAGCTCAAAGCCGTGTCCCGTGTCCTTCTGCCAGAGCTGCCAGAGGTTTTCCAGGAAGGCTGCGCTCCAGGACAGGTCCGCCGGTCTCCCCCCGAACCGCTGGAAGGGTACCACGTCCGGCAGCGACCCATCGGTGCCCATTTCATCCACCATGGAATCCAGGAAGGCGGACACCTAACCCGAAGACTTCAACGAAGCTCAAGACATGGCTCCTGAGCTCTGGCAAGTTTGTCCTGGATTAAGACGTCCCAGTAGCCATGTGATTGTAGTCCCAGTGAGCCAGAAGTGATGCTGCAGAGAGGGATGCGTCACCCATCCAGCCCAACCGCTCGTCGCGCTGAGGACAATCAGTTGGCACCTCTCAAAGCGAGGTGCAGATGTGTACCAGACCCTCTGCAAAGCAGGGCTGCCGGCCTGCATCAGGTTCGAGCGCTGCACGCCCTTGGAGCCCATGTGGATCGCCTGCTCGGGACACGCCCCGCGAATTTGAGTTGGCACGGCATCTGTATGGCTTCTAAACCTCGCTTGCTCTCCAAAAGGCCTGCAGGACCTCGTCGGAGAGGGTCACGTTGACTCGATCCGGCAGGGCAGTGTTCATCACCTCTTTGGGGGTCGGCGCAGTCGATAAAGTGGCGCTGCAAGCGACTCTCAAAAACTTGCAGAAAAGCAGCCAGGCGCTCTATGAACTCGGCCGTCAGCTGTCCTCTAGCTAGCTGCTAGCATGCATTGAAATTGCCAGCAGCATCCAACAGGGTCCCGGAAAACCGTAGACTTCCACATAGCGGAAACCGTGGTATGTAAATCGTGGTCGCCAATTCTGAATGGGACCATCGAGAATCAGGGTATCATTGGCAGCAGCAGACCTCAAACACCACTTAGAGATTCTGCGCCCTCCCTGCTCTCTCTCACTCTCTCTCTCTTGAATCTCGAGTCGCCTAAGGTTGTCGAAGTACACGCGGGATGGGTCGATTTTCTTCAGTGGCATGGCCGTATGCTGCAGCACCTCTCCTTTGCAAAGCAACGAAGTCAAAACTACAAATTTAAGCGGAGGCCGCCAGAGCTGAATGGCTACAAACCGATGTGACCTGTGTCAAGTACAAAATGAAATGCAAAGCTTCCAAGGCGAGCTTCCGTGCTTTAGCATGACAGTCGCCGCTTGAGGCACGGAGATCTGGCAGACTCCCGCAACGTTGGAGCCAAAGTCAACCACATGGACGCCAGGAGCCTTGGATCAAAGGCAGGTTCTGTTTCGGAAACGGAATGCTCGGAAAACAAAAGGTCACTAGGCAACTCGGTCGTCATTCTACTCCTTCCGATGGACTGGCGCTGTGATCGATATTGGATGATCCACCCGAGTCACCTGGCATGGCAGCTCCCAGCAGCTTTGGATGAGAAGCCTCCGACGCTGACGGCTGCTCTCCTGCCTGGACGCCTGGGAAGGACGCAGCCACCATCGCCCCCGGTGGCCCGTGGGTCACGGGGAGGGACTCTGATGGCACCCATGGGCCTCCAACTGCGAAGCAGAATTATATACAAGAAGAATAATGAACACAAAACTGCAACACTGCGACCAAGTAATAATAGCAGCACTAACAGCAATAGTAGTAGTACTCACAACTACCACACCATACTTTACAGGCAATAGTAGCTATACTAGTAATGAGTAACAACCAGTCATCATCAAAAATAAAAACAATAGTAGTAGTAGACGTAGTAGAAGTAGAAATAGTGGTAGAAGTAGAAATGATCGTAGAAGTGGAAGTACAAGTAGAAGTAGACGTACCCATAGACGTAGAAGCAAAAGTAGAACAAGAAGTAGAAGTAGCAGTAGTAACAGAAGTAGAAGTAAGAGTAGAAATAGTAGCAGAAGTAGAAGTAGACGAAGTATAAGTAGAAGCAAAAGCAGAAGTAGAAGTAGACATACACATAGATGTAGAAGCAGAGGTAGAAGAAGAAGAAGTTAAGTAGAAGTTACAGCAGTAGTAGAAGTAGAGGTAAGAGTAGAACTAGTAGCAGAAGTAGATGTAGACGAAGTAGAACTAGAATACAAGTAGAAGTAGGAGAAGATGCAAACGTACAAGTAGACTTAGACATGGAAGATGTAGAAGAAGAAGAAGAAGTAGAAGTA